ATGAGTCTGCTCTCTGTTTTTGCAAATCCCAACACGTAGAAACAAGCAGAGCAAATGCTTGATGGGGACAGCAGCTTCTGACAAACCTGAAAAAGGCCATGGTCCTGCCACTTGCTTGTCCTGAACTAGATCCACTGTAAGCTGCTTGTCTCATCTTCTCTGATAGAGGGAGAGGACATGTACTATAGTCATTTCTAGCCCCCCTTTCCAGCCTCATTTGGCTTTATTTTCCTGGAAGAGGAGAGGTCTAGACCTTACACACTTTGGGCCAAAATCTCCAGTTCCAGTGTTTAGGAGCTTGCTTGTCTTACTTTAGCTTTTTATTCCTGAATCTCCTTAATTCAGCCTTTCTCCTTTAACAGCTCTGTACTTTAAATAAAAGTGTTTCTTGCAAACTACATGGAGGAAGAAAAAAAAGCAGTCTTCAAAATGTAGCACAAACAGTGCCATCCTGTTCGCTCATTCCCAGTGAGGGAACAGTCCCTCATTTGGAAAGGGATGGTCTTCCTTTGATAGATTGTTCATATAGATAGCTATAATTCATAGCTATATCCTCTGATCTGTCSCATCTGGCTCTGCTTTCCTGCATGCAGAGACTCTCAGGCTACATCTGTAAATGAGGCCTGTCCATCCCCTCAAGCACTGGCACGTCCTATTTGTGCAGTGTCACCAGGAGCATTTTGTCCCTGCCCTGACTTTAACCCATGCCAGGGAACACTTTCCCACAAAAAGTTTTGGGGATAGCCTAGATTAGCTCTTGCTCCAGTCATTTTGGGGTGGGAATGAAATGGATAAAGGAAGTAAACAAGGAAGTTTGGGTATTTGGTTGGATAGGAAGCCGTGCTGCTTGATTCTTGCCCAGCAAACAGGAGCTGGCTTGTGTCAGTCAGCAGTCCTGCTGTAACCTAAAGGCATTTGTTCCAGAGGCAGAAGCARGGCAGCAATGCTGGGAACAGGCTATTGCGGATCTCCTGCAGCCAGGACAGCATCTYGCTCACCTGACAAGGAAAGCAGAGCAGCTGCTGGAGAGCAGAAACGCAGCTCAGCCCTGTGCTAGGGGTCCGGGGTGAGGGAGCTGCAGCGGGCAAACTTGGCCCTTCCCAACATTATTGCCTTTAAAATCCTCAAATTCGCTTTCATTCAGATCACAGGAGAGTGGTCAGCCATTTTCTGGAGCAGGAAGGATATGGAATAAACAGGTTCTTTCACCTTTTTTTGTAGAGGGTGACATTGTAATTTTGAGAGATAGTTGCATGTCCTACCTTGGAAGCTGAATTGCCTTAGGCTTCCTGTGTAGCTGATAGGAAGGGTGCCCAAAATGGCTTTCCAGAGGATCCAAAATTAGAATTGCCCTGTAGGGATTCTTATTTCTTTCCATCAGCTGCAATTAAACGCTCTTAATTTTGGCTCTTTGAGTTTCACCTACATCAGATGCCTAGGGACAGAATGAGTGTCTATCTCAGACTGTAAGTGTGACTTGCTGAGCTGCATTGACACCCAGCTGTCACAATTAAGTTTGCTAATCAACACTGCAAAAGGAAAGCAGAGCTGCTGAGGGATGGAGGGAGGGGGAAAACTACAGGCCAGATTATTCTGAATTTGCCGCCCAAGGCTCACATTTTAAGTATAAATCAGACGCATATTAGATGTAGATGGTTCATGTCGCAGTCACCCTGATCCTGCTCTCAGTTTATAGATCATCACCAAAGAAAACAGAGAAGGGAAAACTGTCCCTAAGCAGGTAAAGAAAACAATTATTACATAGAAATGAGTTCTTAATTACTCAGATGTGCAACCAAAGAAAACCAGCTCTACAGCTGTTCAGCTGCTGTGATAGTATTTACTGATACCTCAGCATAATTCAATATAAGAAATAAGGTGGGTGGTGACCAGACCTGCCCCATGTCCATGTTAGCAGCTACGAGTCCAAGCAAGTCTTGAACACATTCTCAGAAGCAGAAAATCACTGCTTGAAAGTTGTTATGGAACCAGTGGATGGGCTGCAGAAGCTGTTAAAGCAAAGCATAGTCTTTGTGTCATTTCCTGTGTGTGGTAGACCATAAAAATCACACTCAAAAATAGCACTAAGTTTCTTAAACTGTTTCTGATGGAGCAGCGCTCTTTATGTGGTGGTCCATGAAATACGAGCCTTATTCTCATAAAAAAMCCAATTCATTTACCTGCAGGACAGCTGCCTGTTGCTATTGAGCTGCAGCTAAAGTGTTAATTATCTGAAAAAAAAACAGGGCACCAGGAAAACCCATGGCCACTGTTTTCTTTGCTGACTTTGCTTTCCTTCATCATTCCTCAGTCTTTTTATTCTTTTTAAGGGTGTAGTAATTTTGGCTGCAGGCATCGTCCTGGCCTCTCTTCATCCCTGTGCCAGGTGCACTATCTGCATTGCAGGACCAGCTGTTTGGGGTTTGGCCTCCTAAGTGCTGGTATTTTGTTCTGCTTTCATGTCACTGAATGAGATCACCTTGATATAAATAACTAAAACACTGGTTGTTCTATGAACAAAGAAGCTAGAGAGAACAACTTTGAAGAAGACATCTTATAGTCCATGGGCTTGGCCTGGCTAAGAGCTGCCCAGAGAAATAGGCTATTCTAGGGAATCAGTCTGTCCATGCCAACTATGCTCCCACCATGGGAAGTCAGCCTAGACCTCTGGGTAGTCGTCTCAAAACTGTCAGTGTCTAGTGCCACTCAGTTCTCCCCAACACCACTTCAGGCACATGTATGTTCTGACAGCACCTGATCTCGATAAGCTCATCTTAACTGGAGAGACAGTCACAGGATGCTCGTTTCTTTCTGTAGGACTTCATGTCAAATACTCTCCAGGACATCAGTGCCCTAAGGTGTGACTGTCACGGGAGAACARCAGCTTTTCTTTCTCTTTTTGTTTAGGTTGGGGAGTGACCAGACAGTGCTGTTCCAGTTCTGAGTGATTAATTCCTATCTATTTCCTTCTCTATCAGTCCATCTGCTACTATGCTCCTGCTGACCCTCATCCTTGTGTAATTCAGATAAAATTTGTTAATCATGGAGACTTTACTCTTACTCCTAATTCCTGCATAGCTTATTCCTTCTCCTGATGCTGGCTATTTTTCCTACCTCCTGAAGCTTATTCTTTGCTTCCTGGGCCCTGGCTGGGTTTACTTCTACTAAGCGCAGCTGACACTGAGGGCACAGCAGTCATCTCCTCCTGCCCTGCAGTCAATGCACTGTTCATTGATCCAAGAGTCAAGGTTTAGAATTGATGAATAAAGCAAGACTTAAAACAGTAGGTTTGCACTGTTTTAAATTAAGGAGATTTGGGGCAGGAAGGTGCTGGTGAGAGAGGAAGCGGTAAGCAGTTCTGTGAAACTGTCTCCAAGATGTAAAGGGAGGATCCTTTAGGAAAGTGGTTTCCTAGGACCCRCACAGGTGGCCATCCTGGTCTTCTCCAGGAGTCGCTGAGGGTGATGGTGCCCATTTAGAAAGAGCACCCAAGGGAAGGTGACACKCGGAGACAGTGCCCAAACCCACTCCACCAAGGAAGGTGCCGACCAGCTCAGCGAGGAAAGAAACAGAGCACCGCACATGAATTCTGTAAAGAAAATGTTTTATTTAAAGTGTTAAATACCATCACCAGAATGAATTTGATTTACATTGGTTGGTGTTCATTAACAGGCCTAATCTGCCTTTTTTTTTTCTTTTTTTTTTTTTTTTTTCCTCCAGCTGTAATTCCTTTTAACTTTTTAAAACATACTATGTACAAGACAGCAGTGATCACTGGAATAGTGCTATTTACATGACTAAACCATAAGTAGAGTTGCAGACGTGTGAAAAATAAAAAAAAAAATACATTTTTTTAAAATAAATACTGCATAATGACAAGTATGTACAAACCTTCCATGCGTCATGTCCTTGATTTTAAAATCTGAAATAATTTATATAGGACTATGTATACAAGAATGTGTGAGTGCAGCTCACAGTTCCAGGAAAGTTGTTATATATTTTTCTTCAATCGTAGGGGATACTATTGACTGCATGTGGTATTATTTATTTGTTTGCTGGTAGACAGGTGTCTGTCTGTAATTATTTCCATAATTACAATGTTTACCAGTCTGTCCATTAACTTAACAATAATCCATTATATAATCTCTGAAGACAAGACACAATCTTGATTTATATGATATTGCACAAAGTAAAAGGCATTTTAAGTGATACYATTATTACTTTTGCCCTCTGAAGAGGTTTGTATAATTTTTAATGGGAAACATTAATAGATTTTCAAATAAAATCAGAATAATTCTGGGTGGCCTTAAAATTAAATGTAATACAGATTTCAAAAATTATTGCAAGGTTTCAATATTAAACCTTAAATAGGTATTAAAGGCATATAAAGACCCAGAAAAATGGGACAATTTGTTATTAAATGTTAGCCAGTTACATTCCCTTTAAATAATGTAATTTAATGAGAAGCTTGAACTTGCAGCACCACCCAATGGTAGTCACTGTCTGCTACAGAAAACAGGTTTTTGAAGCKCTGTTGCCTGCACTGTGGGTTCTGGTAATGGTGACAAATAACTCTCTGAGAAGYACTGATAAACTTTCTTTAAGGCTATTTTATGAACCAAAGATCGACATTTTTCTGACTGATATTACCAAGTTATAACTTTTCCAACAGAAATGTAGTCCGTGAAAATTGAACTGTACAGCAGAACGGTAAGAATTAGTAACCTTTTGTTGTTTTTATAAACCCAAGAATGTAGCAACTTATTTGGGTTAGTGCAAATGAAATTATTTATTTCCTAAAAAAAAAAAAAAAAAAAAAACACCTAATTTTTACTAAGTTTTCTTCTTTCAAAACCTTCAAGAAATGATAGTTCAGCCTTTGAATGAATGATGCTGGTGCTGAAAACAAATTTATTGACAACATCTTACAATGGTCACATGGTTCCAGTATTTTGCTGTAGAATTCAATTTGAAGGTGAGAAAAAAAAACGAAAATAAGTTACCATGCACTGTACAATAAATTGCAAAAAGTTCAAATATCTTTTTTTATCAAATACATGCTGAATTACATTAATGTACTCCCAAGCCATGTTGCAAAATCCTTTTCAACATGCTTGAAAAAAGTAAGTTCTTAAACAATATTTTTCTCAAATAATTCAGAAATGCAGAACAATCTGCAACCCTGAACCAAATATGGGGCATAAGAGAGTAATAAGTCAAAAGGTAGCCATTTTAGCCATTTCAGAATCTGATGATTATCCTGGGAGCTAGGAGGGCAGAGAGCAAAAGGAAGAACGGAGATTGGAAGAGAGAAAGAAGGAGGTAAAAGAAGTGTACAATTTGCACAGTATGTTGAACTTTACAAGGCTTGTACCTTTTACATTTAAATAAATTTAATATATTACACTTATTTCTTGTCACATAAACAGAATTTTAAATATCTGCTAGAAATTATTTTTAATATAAGTCTGCAAAAATACAGACCATGACTGGTTTAAAGAATGATAAACTGGTGTGTCTTTGTATCACCCTGTTGCATTCTCTTCCCTTTAAAACCATGCACTAGTGAAATTTATTTTTAAAAATAATATAAATTGTTGAAAATGGCTGATTTATTCTTTTTTTTTCAAGTTGCAGCCCCAAGAAAATAATTTAAGTGTTCAGCTAAATCTGTGTCCATGCAAAAAAGTTTCTTTAATTTCATACAGTACAGTATATCCATAGAATTTTATTTTTCAGAGAGTCCATCGCATCTGGGGTTTCACTGTAACTACAGCTGGAGCTATGAAGCCTGTCATGTTTAAGTCTTGAACCTTTCCTGTACGGAGAGTTTTCAGATCTCAAGTGTTTCAAATGACAGCTGACTTTTCCAGTCACTCTTACATTTCTTCCACTTCTCTTCCAAGGTCTGCAAATCCATGGACTTGTGACAGGGCTTCAAGGGAGGGAAACTCCATTTCTGTGGCATAACCAAGCTTCAGGAAAGGGAGGGCAGATAAATAAAGAAACAGGAGCAACAAAATAGATATGCCATTGAAAAGGACTTTTGTTGCATGAGACAGACTGAATCTTTTAATTTAGTCCATGGCTTCAGATTGGACCAAAACTGAGTGTCCCTGAACTCCAAACCTGTCAGTCCGTTACAAGGTCAGTCCTTCACCTGAGGGCCTTCCATAGGGCACAATGTGTGCAACTTCCTTGAGAACACAGGATCGCGTCGTAGCCCTAGAAACAGGCTCAGAAGACACAACATTAAGCATGCAGTGTTACCAGGGTTGGCGACCTGTGGTGGTGGTTGTTGTTGTTGTTGTTTTTTGTAACGCTGGTTGCCATGACAAGAGTTTCACAGCTGCTATGAGCGAGCGTACGAAGGTCCYGTTGAGCTTTCCAGAGATGACTGGGAGGCTCTTCTAGTGAGAGGAGCTAAAGTCGGGTCTACTAGGGAAGAAGGAGGGAAAAGTTTGAACCACCCAATCACCATGTTGGACAGGTCCAGTTCATCTAAAAGTATCTGTGCCACTCCCATAAAGGATTTGTGGTCCATGCGTCCATAGTCTCCCCAAACAATTATCTGTTAGAGAAAGAAACAAAAGAAAACAGAAAAGTTTCAGCAAAATTGCAATGTTTTGTTCAAACATCTCCGCTTATTTTATCACAGCAAGGAATGGGATGTTTGACTATGCAAATATATTACTATGATGCAGCAGCAGATGTGATCTGGGCAGTAATTGAGTAATTTATTTGTACTAAAGAAAGTCCAAGAAGATAAGGCACCCATACATGCAGTAGAAACAAAATAATCTAGAACTAACTTTTGCTCAGCACTTTGCATTTACATCAGCACTGCAACATCATCAGCAGATGCTGCTTATATGACTTCTGTGCTCAACAAGTGCTTGAACTTGCCAAAGGAACCATGAAAGTCTGAGAACTGTGCGGGTAGCACGTTTGCAGATGCAGAAAAATATTGATGCAAATTACCTGTAAAACTTTTCCTTGGGGACTTTCTTCGAATGACAGAAGTTGCTGATAAAGGGGTTCCAGCGTTTTTCTTGCTACCTTTGTTTTCTTTTTGGCTATGCAGACTCCATTTTCTAATAGATACACCTTTACGTATGGTGCTTAGAAGGAAAGTAAATACAGGACAGTAAGTAAAGGACAAAAACCGATTTTTTTTTTTTTTGGCATAATAAATGCAATGTTCTATTACCACATGGTAATTGGTAAATTATTACCAATATGGTAATGGTATACGGTAAAATCTGCCACTTAGTGGCTATATTGCTTATATGAACAAATCTTCACCAAAAGTATTAATACCTAATAACATGCAAACCATCCATGCATTTTATTCACTTTATCTTCCTGGTATAATTTTTTTCTCTAATTCTTTTTATTTGATTCTTTTGCCATGAAATAATTTGGATTTTTGACCTGGAAAAAATCTGATATTCCTATATATAGCACTCTCTATTACAGTTTGCAAAATAGGTCTCTTAAGTACATGAACAACTTGCACTGACTTTGGTGAGAGGTGGATAAATGCTCCAAATTGTTAATAATTTAAAATAATCTAGAAAGTGAAAATCAGTGGAGAAAAGACTGACATGATTTCTATTTTGGCAGAAGAGCATGCTAAAAATATCATTATATCGTCCTTTTTATAAGGTACTATAGGACATCAGACTATAAAATAAGGAGTAAATATCAAGTACTGGTCTAATTCTCACAGTAGGTTCCTATCCACACATTTTCTTAATTCCCTCTTTCCTCCCTATGACTCTTATATCACATTTTCTGCACATGCCTTCCCTTACACCCCATAACTAAAGATGTTTTTGCTGTTCCTAAAATAACTTTAGGATCTTTTCATAAAGTAGACAAAATATCTCCTTAAATTTAAAATGTTCCTAAAATGCTCTGGAAGTCTAAAACGAAAATCTTCATTAAAATGATTTTTTGTACTTACTGCAAACTTTTATATCACTTCACTGTGTTTTTACATTTCAAYGTACAATACTATCATCTACTCTTAGGTGCACTTGCCAAAACATTCTCTTCACTTAAGTTAAACAGTAAAGCCACAGAATTGGAGAGAGGGTGGTTGGTTTTTTTTGGTAAAATTTTATTCATGTTCTTTCTTTCTTACCTGGCAGTGTCTTTGAACCTGGTTTTACAACAAGGCCACGGGCTCGAATTATTTCTACTTCCAACTGTCCTTTCTTGTCCATCATTCCCACCTGGATATCTCCTAGGGGAAAAAAAAAGAAAAAGAAATCCTGGCTTTGTAAATCAGAAATACTTAATCATACTAACAGATATAGAAAGTTCTACAATGAGTATGTGAAAACTTTTCTCTTGCATTATACCAGTATGGCAGTTTGAATACTAATAGATAATTTAAGACTTAGCCTTTTTACAGCTATTTACATTAATATACATTACAAAACAAACAAGAACAAAACAAAAACAAACAAAAGCAAACAAAAAATCACAAAAAATGCAAATATTTCATCTTCCTTTTGCTGTGCCCAAATCTCTTGAAATTATATCCCTCCAAATCTCTTGAAATTACATCCCTTCCTGTCTCATGAATTCCAGAGAAATACAGGCAGCAAGGGAATTCATGCAACAAAACTCTGTAAAATTGCTTGAAATTTCTTTTTGCAATGGTTCCAGTTAAATTTAAAAAACGTATAAAAAGTGATTCAGAGAAAGGATCAGTCTCATTAGGCACATTTTAAAGATGTGAAAGCTAAAGAACAGATAAACAATTCTTCTTTCAATGCATCTTTCTACTTCTGACTGTCCTAATGAGCACCCACAATTATGACAATTTTTGGCTGAACTTGAGGTTGTTGTTCTGGTTTTAGATGAGCTGTCCAAAACCACATGGCAGTATTTAAAGAAYTAGAATCTAAATCATTTCTGTGTCCTAATTACTAGACCCAGTCGTTGATGTAGCATCTGCAGGACATAAATACTTACCCATAGATGGTGTTGCCAAAGTCTGACGCCCTACAAGCTGAGCAGGACCAAGTCCATCCAGAAAATCACTGAACTGGCTGTCTGCGGCCAACCTCACGCCAGGGAAAATCAAACTAAAAGATAATGTTGGAAAATCAACATATACACACGGAATTTGTCCATTTTTCTTTTCTATATTTTTTATCCTTAGCATTTATACTTTTTACTTCTACTTGACTACTACTTACTTTAATTCTGTAAAGGATTTACTTGCACGGACAAGATTACAAAGCAATTACTAAAATTTTCAAAATATCCTGTTTTTTTATCCTATTTTATCCTGTAGGATTTTTTTATTCTATAAATTTAAAAATATCAACAAGTAGCAATTGGCCCTCCAACAYACAGCTAAACATGTGAAGGAAGCACTAATCCACACAGCTTTTAATTTTAAAAATAGTCTTTTTCCATCATCCTCCTTTTTCCCGATATATCAAACATGATTGTTAATTACTGCAGTATTCATATGAGATCAGTTCGGTATGAAGCTAATAGCAGCCCTTAACAATAATTTAGCTACACAAGAGTAAAATTTCTCAGGAAACAATTCTAAGTCATTGTGAACTCAATGGCTGAATGTCAAGAGCATTTAGCGAGACAATTACATTAGACTGAACATTGATCACTGTTTATAAAAGCAACTTTTAAGTGAGCATTCATTAAGAATATTTTTCTGAAATGTCTCTAAGAATGACACATATTCAATAATGGAACTSAAATTAATTCTGGCAAATAACCAAATATCTTAAAATTCAGGTTCAGAAAACCTGCCGTCAATTATCTGAGAAACATTTCAAGGCAACAATTATTCATGGAAACTATCTGGTCAATAACTCTCTAAGGAAAAATGGTAATTTCCCAGATGATCGATGAAAAGACAAAGAAGTGAAACTGGTGAAATTCATAATGACTGACCATAAATCAACATTCATCTCAAGCACTTAAAATGCATCAGCTTGGACACCAGCTCTGTAAGGTGCATCGTCCAGAGCAGGTATATTGTTCAGGGGCTCTCAATACCACTAATAAATCTACTCACAGTAAGGTTTTTGTTGGAAAAGTCTTGAACAGACTACTCGTAAGTCTAAAACTTGGGCCTTTCAGAAAAGCATATGGGAAATACATGAGCGTTTTATAGTTCTATCCAGAACACTTCTTCACGATTAATTAGCACAAGTTTTGATAAACTAGTTTGAATCTAGTGTAGGTCATCTGGAAATAGAAGAAATTTCATCTCTCTGGAAATATGCAAGGACATGCCCTCTGAGAGGAGAGGTTTGCTGAACAGAGAGTATCCTTTTATTGTGATTCCCACACTTCACTCTACCCATTCCCACCCCACTCCCAAACTGCTGCTCCTGTCTGGTCACCCAGGTGTCTGTAACACAGTGCTGCAAAAATGACCACCGAACTGCTCCACAAACACAGGGAGAAATGTCATGGAAGAGTATCAGTAATAACTTGTGCTTTTTGCTTACTTTCCCTCAGAGCTGTAGCTGTTCATGCTCCCATCCGTAGATTCCCGGCTGGCCTGACGTGTCATCCAGTTCCTCATCTCCACGGCCAGCCCTGTCTCCGTGCTCCTCTGCACTGTGCTCCGCAGCTTCTTACCACCTGCTTCTGGAGAAACAAAACACAAGCCTTCCTGACAACGTGCTACAACAACAGAGTGCTCCTGCAAAACCACACACCAGCTGGGCTTGGACAGCACCTCTGGAGATCATCTGGAGATCATCTCTGGAGATCATCTGGTTCCACCTTGCTGCTCAAGCAAGGCCAGTTGGCCAGGACTGTCTCTGGTGAGATTCTCAATAGCTCCGAGGACGGAGACTCTGGAGCTTCTCTGGACAACCTGTTCTAGTGTTTCACCACCTTCCCTGTGAGAAAGTGTTTTCTTATGTTGAGACAGAGCAGCGCAAGGCAGTAACACAGGTAATAAACTAGCACTCCACATTGTGGAAACAGTTAAAGGAAGAAATTATTATACCAAATCTTGCATTTTTGAAACAYGGAAATGTTAACAATAGGCAAGTAGAGCAGTCTTCAGATCCTTTAAATAACTTAGTTCTGCCTTTTAAGGGCAGACAGCATGCCCAAAACACAAGTTCTTCAGTGTACAGTCTGCCCACAGAGGTAACCAGATTTACAGTCGCTGTAATCCAGTGTGTTTAAAACATGCCTTCTCTGAAGGAATACACCCCTCTTAGGAATTCAGTTAAAATATTACCATTATGTCAAATCCTATAGTRTTTGAGGAATGTTCTACTTCAGCTGAATTATTTGATTTGGACATTATTTGCTAAATTAAGTCACTGACATCCATTAGTGAAGACAGCACACAACAAATCAAGAACTCTGCCTACTCTTCCTCCTCCCTCTTCCCTTTACATTAGCTAGTTTTATTTAATATCTAAAAASTGCAGTCTGTGCTGACTTTCATGCACAATATGAAATTTTACTTCCAGCTCCGTGATAAGCAATCATTGTATCTGCTCACAGTTGTTAACTTCAGCTGTAAAGACAGCAAAATGACAGGACATAAGGTAAAAGAAAAATATTCAGAAAGTAATGTAATAACATTTTAGTGTAGGGATTTTGATCAAGACTTCAGCTAGAACACATCTGAAATCCCAATCAAAAAAAGAAAACCCAAGACCAAAATGGGAATTAAGCCCTCGTTCCTTCCTGTCATGAGTAAGATAGTATCATTTCTGATTTAAAACTCTATTTCCAGCAATAATGCAGACACTTTGGAATTGCATTCCAATTTCTTATACCTTCTTAGTGGATTAAAAAAATGGCCTCAGCACAGAGTTGTGTGATATACTGATGACAATATAAAAAAGTAGTAATTCCAAAGGGACGGGACACCAAATGACACTTAAATTCTAAGAATTAGCATTCTTAAATATTGAGTAATATCCAAGATCCTAAGGATATCTAAGCATTAGCCCTCTTCTGTGGTCTTGTAGACTCGGCTACCGTTCTCCTTCTCTGCCCCATCAAGTACCAGTGGAAGAAGAACTGCTGGACAGGTGGATTTTAGAAGGAAAAGGGTCAAGGCAAGAGGGGCTTGTCCTGTCTGCTACCCCAAGGAGAAGGACCAAGGACCTTAGAAAGGGCACAGGAGGAGGGAACATGTCTCCATGCTCCCACTCAGGATGTCTCTGTCCCATGGGCTGCAGACAGGTTGAAGTCCTGCAGAAACGTATCCCAGTCTGTCCAGAAACATATCCCAATCTGTCCAGTTGAAGTGGATCAGATAAGGAATGCAGGAAATCTACTGAAGTAGGATAGATATCCACACACCTCAAAAGCCCACTTTTAATGCTGAAAAGCGTCATTCAAAGAATGTTTAATAATATTCAAGTATTTAGCAGTAATGAGACCTTTTTATATCAGTGTAATGCATGATTCAAATGTTATTGCTCCTTACAAGATGTGAACTCATTCAAGACCAAAACTTTTAATCATGGCAATGTATGTAAGAAATAACATGCAACAATTTTGTTCTGGAACTTCAGCTACCCACATGAACTTAGTACCCAATGAAGCAATTTATTTATTTATTTATTGCATCAAAACTACTTATAAATATACCCACTATTTCTGGAGCAAAAAAAAAAAAAAAAATTAAAAAAAAGGATAAAAAATAAAAAAGTCTAGTAGGACATTTGAAAGATGATGGGSRGAAGACAACAATTTCATTTCTATTGGGTTATAAAGTTCCAAATGTCTGCTGTTTTTTTTTATAATCTACATTAAAACTAATGAAAGGTGGCAACTGACTTCCAACACTCCAAAGTTCATCTAAAATTCAATTACTCAGATCAAAGAAACATCCCCATAAAACTTCTTGAAAAAAAATGTGCTATAGTTAGGCAAAAAAGAGTATACTGTGGCTTTTTTTTTTTTTTTTTTTTTTTAATGAAGAGGACACAACTCCTAAGGCTTCATCGTCTTTTTATTAAGGTCCTATTCTGGGATATTCTCAGTGCTCTTTGGATTAATTAGAGCTCATTTTTGTTTGATTCCACTCAATGGTGGTCATTTGCTATTCACTGTTGCAAGCATGAATTCGCTCATTAAAATGTAASGGAGCATCTCCATCTTGCACGACTCTCTTCAGGTTTTCACATCCTCACACCTTTACAAGATTCTGGAGTTTGAGATAAATACGATTTTCAATATATGATATACAAAGAAAAATACARTAATTGTTCTTAATAAGGATTTTTTTTCTGAATTGCAATTCTAAAGATGTATACCTTGACTTTAAGAAAACATTCATAAAAACCAACATTTGTTGTACGCCAATTTACTTAAAAATTAAGGCAGAATTAGTGCATCTGCCATTCAAGTCCTCACAGAAGCAGATGTTTCCCTGCCTGTTCTTAGCATCCTTCTGTATCACATTTTAAGCCATTCTACACTCTTATATTCACTTGAACCCAGTGCTCTGATTCACACTGTAACAGGCCAACAGCTGATAAGGTGCAATTTTACTGTAGAATAAAGGTTAAAAACTCACACCAAACCCAGCTTTTATATAAGCACTGGTGCTAATGTGGCATTATTTAGACACATCCAATTCAAACAGTGCTGAAAGAAGACTATGTGAATAACTATTCTCAAGTGCTCAAGAGAAACAGGCAGAGCTCTCTGATGGTCTCAGAAGAGAAAGATGTGACCTTYCAGCAGCAAGGATCCTAATCATGATGTTGATGCTTCTTGAAACAAGAGCTGAAGATTTTTAACAGCAAAATAGCAGTCTGGGGGACAGAGGGATAGAAGAAGTCTCAGCTCATAGACATTTCTGAACTACCACTTTGGAGATGAGTTTTCTTTCTGATTAAGCTTGGCTAAACTAATATGAAATAACAGGCATTAGAAATATCTACACTTGATTGCCCACCATGCTAGCAATACTTTGGTCCCCAGGAAAATGCAATAAATCAATTCACCATGTAATTTAACATGCAAAGGTAGTGTTTAGAGGAATTGTAATTCGTGTTTCATAAATTCAGGACTTAAGTACTTAAAAAAGCAGGACAGGCAACCAGAGGCAATGAAAACGCAAGGCAGGAGCACCAAGAAACAGCCTCAGGTGCCAGGCTACCATCCTGCAGCTGCTGCAAGGTCTGCCCACCCCACTAAACCCAAGTTCTTTTTCCCTGAACCTGGCTACAAATTAAATCCTCCTCCTCCTCCTTTCCCTTTCCCTGACGTGGTGTTGATTGAGCCAGCTGCGTGGCTGCACTCTGCACAGGACGTGGCCAAGAAAAGGAATGAGCAGCAGTGCTCTCAAAGCTGTTCTTTTCTCTTAAGACAACACTCCCAAAATCTGCATGACCAGTTTTGGATATTAACATCCAGGTGAGCGAGCCCAATTGAAGTAATGTTCATTTCTAGCTGCATAAATAACTTAGGGATGGATCTGCCACTGACACAGCAGTAAACACGTATCTACAACCTAAGCTAGTGCATCTGGTGACTTAGTAAAGCTGCAGTTTGGATTATAACCATAAAAACATTCACTTCACTTACACTGTTTTCTTACTCCTCTCAATTGAAAAGATGTAGAAAGTAGAGATTTGTTATTATGTTTTTTTCTAAGTATGCTGCTAACCTCCTATAATTGGAAATGATTTTTCATGCTATTTACCAAACTCTAATGAAGAATAGATTTTCTCCAAATTATCAGCATCCAATTGCCTCAGAAATAAGAAATATCTCTCAAGTCCTCATCACAAAATATGGAATACATTAACTGAAAAAAAAAGGCTAGTTCAGATTCTTGTGGTCATAGTGCAAGGAATGGCACAAATTACATGCAATAATTGCTTTGGCATTTCTAAAGGCACATTCATGCTTATAGTTAATCACACTGGTAATTTAACTAATATGGTTACTGCAAATAGATTCCACAGGCCACATCTTCTAAATTACATGCGGAATTATTTGTTCCCACAACTTGCGAGTGCAAATCCCTTGTGATTCAGGAGTGCAGAGCCACTGATTGACTCTTAAACATCAGATGAGGACAAGCTCAAGCTGCAGCAAGGAGGAGGTTCTGGGGCAGGCAGAGGCAGAGCAGTGATGCCAACCTGCAGGCTCAGGGGATCCCTGGGTAGGACTTGTTCCCAGGACACAGCAAATGTGTCTTCAGGATTTACGGACACTTAAATACTCGGGGTGTCCCCTCTTAGCTGCTCCATACCTCACCAAAAGGGCTGCATAAAAATGAGTGCTGTATTTTTATCTGAAAACAGGAGTCAGAGGCACAAAAAGACTAGGTTTAGTCTTAGTGACACTTAGTGACTTAGTGACTACTTTGCATGAGTGAAGCTCCTTAAGTATCCAAAGATGGGCTTCTGGGYACGATAAATGGGTTAAATAAAATCACCAGGGATAGTCTGAACTGATCCCACTAAGCAAAGGGGGACAGGTTAGGTTTCCAGTTCCCTTGCAGACCTACAATTCTTGGTCCAGAACAGCCCAAATTTGGTCATACTGAACTAGGCATTTAGCTCATTTTGAGAAGTGCTGGAAGCGGGACATGAGTTGATTCTTTGCTTGCATCACCCACAGACCCCAAGCAGTAGATATGCTGGGATCTA